TCTCAATTCTACTGTCAATTACTAATAAATTACCATAACCAAAGTATGGCTATATGAAATGTAATATAAATCACTCTTTTTTTTTTAAAAAAAACTCGCTTTAGAAAATAAGCCTATTCAAATTAAGTTAATACGGATTACCAACAACAATGATGACCTTGATTCGTAAATTTTTAACCTTGTTTACAATTTTAAGAATTTTATTATTGTTTACTTACTATTCAATGTTCAATGATTTCTTTTGACCAAATATGTTTTGAATTATATTGTTAAAGTTGGCCTTCAATTCATTGATGATTTGAAAAACTACACATTAATGCTTAGTTTTAATTGGTTGTATTTGATTTATAGTTCACTAAAATATATCTCATATAAGAAGTCGAACAAGTTTAATAGGTTTCTCAATAGTTTCAGTGATAATATCTTGTAAGTGTATCATCAAAAGAATACAATAAGTAATTGAAATACATCTGTATAGTTCAAATGATATAAACTGACAAATTCTCTTTAGTAAATGGTCTTTAGAATTTCTTAAAAGAAAAATCTGGATGAAATAACATGGTTTTTTTTCATTGAAGTACTGGAGGATGAGATTTATTTAATTTTGATCATTAAAGTTAAAATTTGATAAAATGTAATTTGACAGCCTTATTTATTACTTCTTATATATTTCAAGAAATGATGTGTAGTCAGAGATAGTAAACATTAATTCAATGGACCAGATTTCTCACCAGTTAACACTTATTATTAAAATGTATCTGAAATCCTAAGATAAATGGTACTCCTCTGAAGATTTAAACCAGCATCAGTACAAGCTATCGTAGTAATGACGAGTAAATACTGTGATTCTCAAATCTTAATTTAATAAGTTCAGCAAAATTTTTTCTGTCTTATGTAATTTAGTTTGATGAAAATATCTCAATGACTCATTTTCGTGGATTAGTTGAAGTTAGACATTAACAGCGTTGGATGCCGTCCAGCTCAGTGGTCTAGAGGTTAAGTGTTCTCGAGCGAGACTGATAAGACTTGAGTTCGAATCTCGCGGAGCAGGTTCTTGTATGCGCACTTATGAGTAGTCCCACACTAGGATGAAATGGCTATTCAATTCTTCCAGGTTTGCCATGATGATCTAACTTCAATTAACTCATGAATTCAACTAGCAAATATCTCTATTTATTAATAATATTATTAAATCAACAAACGTTTGTTGAATATTTAAAATGTATACTTTCTAAATAATTTATTCATATGTTTACCTTGATACTTATTATATTGTAATCAATGTACACTATTAGGCAAAGCAATAATATAAAAATAAATTTGACCTTAAATACAAGAATAGAATAATTAATAATTCAAATGAACTTTTATGATAATAATTTAACTAGACGTAAATAGAAATGACGAGTTTTATAAAACTTCTTCATATAATCAGTTTTGATTTTTATCCTATTGTATAATAGAATTTCAGGATTATTGATTTCAATAGTTGAAATCATGAGTCAATTGAAACTAGACCACTATGGAAAACCTGGAAGCACTGGACGTCCGTTTCGTTCTAGCATGGGACTCCTCAACAGTGCGCATCCACGATCCCGCACCCTGCAAGATTCGAACCCAGGGCCTTTCAGTCCTAATGGTGTTAATGTCTAACTTCAACCAATTCACGTAATTGCGCCACCGTACATCATTATCCTCAGTGAGCTTATATCTCACAACAGATCCGATTGAACTTCACTGGTCACAGCTTCACCCTAGAACTCCAGGAAATGCCTTTTGAAGTCAGTCACTAGTGAGCAGATGATTTTTATCAGAAGAAGCTTTGCGGAGTTTTTTTAGTGGTTTCAATAATTGACATCATGAGTCAATTGAAGCTAGACCACCATAGAGTTGAAGTTAGACATTAACATCATTGGATGCTGGCTCAGAAATAATTTACCATAGGACATCGAAACACTGGGACGAAATTAGCAATAACTATATCAGAGAAGTCGAAGTAATGATAATAAACTAAATATATGTAGAATACGAATTCAACTACTATTGTTTTGCTTGTATCTTCCCATTGAGGTTTAAGACTACAAATGATCAGTCTGTTATTGGTAAATTCACCCCATTGCACAAGCAAATGGCTATCAGGACTCGGTAGCTGAGTGGATAACGCGATGACGTTTGAAGCGAATGGTACTGCGTTCGAGTCCCATAGTTAACATCACCCGTCTGAGATGCTGGTAGATCCAGCTGACGAGTCCTAAATAGAACGAGGCTTGTGAATTAAGGCAATATCGAGGCATACACACAGTATGCACATATGCCAATAACAGACTGACCAATTGTAGTCTTAAACCTCAATGGGAAGATACAAGCAAAACAATACCAAGTGAATTCATATTCTACATATATTTAATTTATTATCATTACTTCAACTTCTCCGATATAGTTGTCGCTAATTTCAACCCAGTGTTTCGATGTTCTATGGTAAATTATTACTGATGTATAAAAGTATCACATTTTATTTTATTATGACGAATCAACTATTTGATCTATTACATTTGTATTTAATTGGTTTTTGTTCATAATATGATTAAGTTTTACTATCCTTTTCCTAATTTTATCCTGTAAAATATTTCAAATTTCAAAGAGATTTTTTTTAGTATCGTCATAGAGATCTCAGTTAATTTGTGTTAGTTTTTAAAGCATTATTGTAATGTCAAATAAGAAGCTCAATGATTTTCATTTTAATATTGATATAATAAACTATTTGGTTAAATTTACATTTAACAGTTATTGTTAGGTTTCTGCCTCAAACAACTTAGTAAATAATTCAAATAATTCATTCCTGTACGTTTATACTTTTAATGTACAGTAGTTGTAATGTTAAGAAATTTTCATAATGTTTTTTGACGGTCAACAGTATCAAAAACATATATGGAAATATCATACAATTCATTTGATAATTTAAGAATTATAACCGGACGCCACATCAACGTCAATTGATCTTCTATCTGCTTAAGTTGCACTTATTTTGTCCTATTAAACAATGTACTTACTTAATCCATTACTCAAAGAGTACTGTAGTTAAAACGTACTTTTAAAAAAGTTGAACAAAAATAAGTCACTGAAGGTCTAATCTTTTTCACCTTATTATTCATTGATCAGAATTCATCACAAATGAAATTCTATGTATTCTACATTAGCGCGTAATTTAGTTAAATTTCGTATGTTGATATTAAAATGTGTTGATAACGGATAAAGTATATTGTAGACCAAATAAAAGTCTATCAATTTGACCTTTCTAAATGTTCTATATGAATACAAAATTATATTTGCTTGAAGAAAGGTATGGTGGTTAGAATGCTGGTAGTGACCTATGAATATATTTACAGAATACTTCGTTTTTCAAGTGCGTTAGATATATATTCGTTGTTATGATATTATATTTTATAAACACAATTGATAATGCTACAGCTTTGAATCGATTTCAGAATACTTTTAAAAGAAATATTACAAACTAAATTTATTAATGAAATATCAGTTAAACTCGGCTGTTTATGTGAAGATGGATAGTGGCTAGCAGTGGAATCCAGAACGCGTATTTCGTCCTACTTGGAACTTGCCAGTTGGGTGTACCTGGAAATCAGAGTTGATGTTCACTCTGAGGCTCGAACTTAAACTCCACCGCGTTATCCACTTAGCTACTGAGTCCACTGTTAGCCACTATCCATTTTTGCGTAGAATGCTTGTGAGTTAAGGCAATATTGAGGCAATACGCACAGTATGCACATATGCCAATAAGAGAGTGATCGATTGCAGTCCTAAACATCAATGGGGAAGATTCAAACAAACAATACCAAGTGAATTTAGACTGTTTATGGTTATAAAATAATGTAGGAATTTGCTTTTTTTGTATTCTCTACCAGAAATATAAATATAGGTAAATCGTTTGTAAAAATCTATCCTTCATCCCGACTTATGTTATCCTCTATGCACTCCGGTATGTTTAGAATCAAACCAGTCTAGTGATCTTTAAAAAGATTCTTATTTGTTATTATCGTGTAATCGTGAATACTTTCATGGAAGCGCTGGCAGAATTCTATTGCTAAAGATACTAAAACTTTAATTGGGTAATTTCTTGATTATAGTATAGGTGTTTTATGGAGATTGTAACATTTTTACATTTCAACTCTCTAGCTGATTTTAGCGTTAGGTTGCGAGACGGGAGGTCCTGGACACGCACTTCTAGGGAGCTCCACACTGGGGCGAGACGGTCGTCCAGTGCCTGCACGTTTTCGATGGTGGTCTAACTTAGATCAGTTTTTGATTTGAATTGTGAAAATTTATTGGTACTGAGCATAGCCTTTAGCACATGTTCATATCATTTGAAGAATCGTTGAGAAACAGGTGGGATTTGGAAACTTTTCAACGATACAAGTTCACAACTTCCAATGAACTTCAAATGAAGACCTTTAGATCTTAGTAAATTTCGCAAAGTCATTATCGAAAGCTGTGACTTACGGGGTCAGTTAAAAGAGAAGCATGATATTTATCCTGCGGTTTCACTCGATTACAAGAGGTACCTTATTTTATCTACTGACCGAAGTTAACAAATGTGTACCACTGAATACTAACGCATGTCCCACAAAGTATCGTAAAAGTCTTTGTTTCAATATCATATGTGGTCAGTGATGCAGGCTGTTGAAGTAGAGAGTCTACCTAATACTTTCTGCTTCCTAATAGGTCTACAGTTAATATCAACGGATGATAAAATCAATCATCTGCTTTATATTTCAATCATTTGACTGTAAATATGGTGGATTCTGATATCTCGACTCATTCAGGCTGATATCTAAATTAGATTGGCTGATATAAGGAATTTTTGAATTGTATGAATATTGATTCTTTCTGTTATAACTTGATGATTTGTTCTTATGAATTTGTTTTATCTTAACTTTTCAGATTATCCCATGAATTTCTATTAATAAAATTAAAACATTTTAATTATGAAAGATCCAAATTATAAAGATACTAAAGTTTCATTGTCAAAATCCAAAGAATTCTTTATACATTATCAGTTGTTGATGTGGAAAAATTTCTTACTTCGTAAACGACGCCCTTGGTTTCTCTTAGCTGAAATCTTAGTCCCTTTGATGATCCCGATTATTTTAGTTGGAATGAGAACTGAATCACCACCAGTAAATGAGAACACGTGCCATGTTCGTTCAGTAAATCTTCCAACAATGGGTTTATTCAGTTATCTACAGTCCATTGTTTGTAATTTCCTTTATCGTTGTCATTCTATAGATCCTGATAGCACTTCTCAACAGTATAATTATACTGTGTTTGGTAATTTACTTGAGAATATTTCTAGTATTGTTGAAGATTTGTTGACCGAAAATGTGTAAGTATTATTTAATTAATATCTTTCATTTATCATCATTTATTGATGTGTTCAGTTATAAAACCTTCGGATAGTGTAATGAAATGATTACTGTCATTTAAAAATCGAGCGCATTTATACAGTTTATTTAAGGAAATTTGATAAACGACTTACTTATCTAGTCCAAAAATTAATGTATTGATGAAAGCAAAATAAATCAAAAACGGATAGAGTATAGTACCCAATGAAGTATCAGTTCGCTCATTCCTTCGTATGCTGACGAAATGAAGAACTATTAGATTCACGTTCAGAATGAGGATAACTTATTTTTGAACCCTTGGAATACACTCAAGAAGTCTGTTAACTTGGATTTCTTCTAAAATAATCAATTGCCTATTATACAAAACAAACGTATTCAGTTTATACACAATAAGAAATGCCACTGCAAATAAATGACCCAAATGTCTACTTTCAGAAGGGGTTTTGTGGAGATTTTAGTAATTTAATAGTTGAGATCATGAGTCAATTGAGGGTAGACCATCATGGATAACCTGGAAGAATTGGACGTCTGTTTCGTCCTATTGTGAGACTCCTCATGGATTCAAACATAAAATTACTAAAGTCTTCACAAAAGCCGTTCTCGTAATAATAATCATCGAATGCTCACTAGTGACTGGTTTCAAGAGGTATTCCCTGGAGTTCTAGTGAGAACCCGTGACCAGTGAAGTTCGACCGGGTCATTTGTGAGATAGTAACTCTCTCGAGGCGGGATCGTGGATGCGCACTATTGAGGAGTTCCATATTGGGACGGAATGGCCGTCTAATGCTTCTAGATTTTTCATAGTGTTCAGCTTCAATTGACTCATGAACTCAACTATATAATGTCTACTTTACTAATTCGCGATGTTAATTTATCTGTCAACACAAATTGGACTATCTTTTTGCATCATACAAACAACGAATAATAAAACTATGAGAAACAGTTTCAGTTTTGAGTTTACGTTTCTTATAAATAATCGTTTTATTCGTTTAAAGATCCCCGTCATATTAAAAGACTAGTATTTGAACGAAGAACATTCTTTTCGATAAATTCTCTTCAGGTTTTACAATTATATGGGTCAAAACCCATATTTATTCTGATCATGGATCTTAAAATTTCATTTAACATATAAGCAGATTCAAGTTACCATTCTATCTGAGTCATATCAACATTAACAATTTTATTGTACTTTGTTTATCACAATCCTAAATTCACATGCTTTAAACGATGTACTTTGCCCTAAACCTGGCCATTTTTCGGATATTAATTTGGATATATGGAATTGTAGGAACCTGAAGAGAATTTATCGAAAAGAATATTCTTCGTTCAAATACTAATCGTTTTATTCTTTGTTAATTAATAAAACGATTATCAAAGAAATTGTTGCCTATATGGAATTACTGGATTAATTAGTAGTATATAAACATTCAATATGTATTTAATATTATAAAATACTTTACTCAAGATATGAAATTAGTGACCTCATAAGAATTTGTCATTCAATATTTCAATTATCATCTTAAATAAAGCTTTGATCATTTTAAGTATCTTGAAAGTAATAGTTTTGACAATTTGATTGATATTACTCGGTATTGAACTTATCTAGATCAAAGCGTTTTTTTCTTTCGTTGTTGAATCGTTTCAATTGTGATATGCATGTTATTACATTTCAAGTTAAGCAGTAGATGTAGGTTAAATACAATGTATGACGTGTATAGTTTAATATATATATATATATATATATATATATATATATATATATATATATATATATATATATATTGAAATGAGTATTTGATTGATAATGACTGTAAGAAAGCAGGTCACATCAAATAAATCTTACTTTTAGGTTTAAAATAATCCTTCGTTTATAATAATGTGATTGTAAACGGTCACGTTTGTTTATTGACACTCAATTTTAAGATCGTATTGACAGTTTCATTGTAATGATATGTTTGATACTTAGCAATAAAATACAACTGCATTATTACCAATGATTATAATCATATTAATTAGTTGAAATCTTAAAGATGTATTCTGTACAATTAATAACTGAAGGGATATATCAAGTTCTTTAGTTGATGAGTTAATCATTGACACTGAAAAATGTTAAGTTATTATTGTTCAATATTTAGTTTAAGATTTTTTAAGGATGACATCATCTAGTATCTTATCAATAGTGTTACTATTTCGAAATTACTGTATCATAATAATTACTCAGTGGGTGTTGATATACGGGTATTTGATAGTTTCTGTAAGTAGAATTAGTATGGATGTTTTGGAATTCTCAATGATTATTTATTATTTTGATAGTACTGAGCAACAATGCCGGAGTGTTTAAGATGCGCTTCTCTCTCTCTAAATGCTTCACTTATCTTGAAAATCTAATCAGCCCAAATAGGTTGGTGTCTGACGAAATCTCTACACGGATTCGAAAACCTCGTTTGGCTTTTGTCAACTTACGTCACCTATGGCGAAGATGAGGTATCTGTCTATCAATTAAGGGACGAGTGTACTGTGCGCCAGTTCGTTCTGTTCTACTTTAGGGCTTCGAAACGTGGCCATCGACATTAGAAGATACTCATAAGCTACTAGTACTTGACCACAGATGCTTTAGAAATATTGGATCACCGGGTAAGTAATAGTGAGGTTAGACGTAGGGTATTAGGGAATGATGGTAAGTCAATTGATGAGGTTGTGAATCTTCATCGACTGAGATGGCTGGGTCACGTGTTACGTATGCCTGAACACCGATTACCACGACGCGCAATGCTGATTAGTGTTGGAGACGATGGAAGAAAGTTTGCGGAGGCCAAACTAAGAGGTGGGTCAGTGCTTGAAGTCATAAACTTCTGGCCTGAGCCACGTTGGTAGATGCAGACTACTCGGTTGGGGTCTGTGTGACTATCGTAACCAATATTTATAGACTGTGTAACATGGCTCAGAATCGATCACATTGGCGTAGGTGTATACACTCTCTATCTTCCCTTAAACTATGAAATTAAAATCGCTTCATATCTTTCTTTCTACGAACTAATTATTTTTTCTGTACTATGTCCTTATGTGCAATCTTTCTTTTATATATTACCACCATTGAATTAACTACTTCTATGAATCCGTTGTTCATCTTTTTTGTACTAATGAGGTATGGCAACTTGGATCGATGCATGTATGTGCCTAGTACTACATTGTAGCTGATTGACTGATTCTTTTAAGCCAATAGAGTTTTGTATGAATCGTATAGTTGATATGTGTTTGTTGTTTGAACCTTCCTATTGACACTTACGAATTAAATTTATCAGTCTCTTTTTAATATATGTCGTACATATAATTAAAGAGTTATATATCGAGTGAAACGCACGTCCTGGATACCACTGCTAGCCAACATCCATCTCTGAATAAAAAATCATTTAACTGTTCGTTTCTGTTAGTTTAGCTTTAAATTGAGGTGAAGGTACCGAAACACAATTATTTGAGTTTTATTATTTTAACTAGGGATTATTTGGTAAATCAAGTATTTATGATAAGTCAGTGTTTATGAAGATACGATATGGAAGGAACTAATGAGGCTGATGTTAGACTTGCTGTCTTTAAATGATACTGATTAAATTAACAATTGGTTCATAAGAAAGTGATAGTGATTGAAAAAACTAATATATATGTTTACATGCATAAGTGAACGAGATTTAAATCTATAAACTGACCGTTGAGTGAATAAATGATACTTTTCGTATACATCTCGTGTTGTTCCATGAAATGAACTGGTGTTTGACTACACGACTTCAATTAGTTAAGTACCATAAACACTGGCAAATTCTATATTATATATTGAATGTCTATCGAGTTATGTACCAATACATTTAATTTAAACTCAACTGTAATGTCATTTTAATTTCATATGTAACCATTACTTACTTACTTACTTACGCCTGTTACTCCTCGTGAAGGAGCATAGGCCACTCACCAGCATTCTCCATCCAACCCTGTCCTGGGCAATCCTTTCCAGCTCCCTCCAGTTGTAATTCATCCTTTTCATATCTGCTTCTATTATCCGACGCAATGTGTTCTTTGGCCTTCCTCTTTTCCGCTTCCCTTCAGGATTCCAAGTTAGGGCTTGCCTCGTGATGCAGTTTGACGATTTGCGTAATGTATGTCCTATCCATTTCCATCGTCTTTTCCTAATTTCCTCTTCAGCTGGAAGTTGGTTTGTTCTCTCCCACAGAAGGCTATTGCTGATGGTATCCGGCCAATGGATGTTGAGTATCTTGCGTAGACAGCTATTTATAAATACTTGTACTTTCTTGATGATGGTTGTTGTAGTTCTCCAAGTTTCAGCTCCATACAGTAGAACTGCCTTGACGTTCGTATTGAAGATTCTCACTTTGATATTGGTTGAAAGTTGTTTTGAGTTCCATATGTTCTTCAATTGTAGGAATGCGACCCTTGCTTTGCCGATCCTCGCCTTTACGTCTGCATCTGAACCTCCTTGTTCATCGATGATGCTTCCCAGGTATGTGAAGGACTCTACATCTTCCAGAGTTTCGCCATCAAGAGTGATTGGATTGCTGTTCTCCGTTTTGAATTTGAGGACCTTGGTTTTCCCTTTGTGTATGCTGAGGCCTACTGATGCAGAGACTGCTGCTACACTGGCTGTCTTCATCTGCATCTGTTCGTGTGTACGTGATAGGAGGGCTAGGTCATCTGCGAAGTCCAAATCGTCTAATTGATTCTGAGCTGTCCATTGTATTCCGTGTTTTCCTTCAGATGTCGAGGTCTTCATAATCCAGTCGACCACCAGAAGAAAGAGGAAGGGAGAGAGTAAACAGCCTTGTCTGACTCCGGTCCTTACTTGGAATGCATCTGTCAGCTGTCCTCCATGCACTACTTTGCACTGTAGTCCGTCGTATGAGTTCCGGATAATGTTGACAATCTTCTCAGGAACTCCGTAGTGTCGAAGAAGTTTCCATAATGTCCTCCTATC